CGAAGGAATTGTTGTGGTGCGTGGCTTTTGGGGAGAACGTTTGGCCAGTGACACCAAACCGGTGATTGAGCACAGATCACAGACTCCTATTGAAGTCGCTGCTATTTGCCGTTGTTGTTTACATGACAAGAGCTGCAGCATGCTGGGAAAGGCCGAGCCACAGGCTTGGCCCAGCGACCTGCAGGGCTGAGGGCTGGCGACAGCAGGGAGGGCGATGGCCCTGGCCCAGCCTGCCTTTAACACAGTCCTGGAGCTCATGCTTGGGTGCAAGGGCTGGATAATTTAAATAGCTTCTCTAGAAGAACTCTTTCAGCTATGCCAGTAGTTTTGCTTTTGGGGATACCCATGCCAAACATGCTTATAGTGAATCCTTAAGTTGGGGGTTTGCTGAGGGATTGTGATTTCTTTCGAGCCTACAGCGAATCATCATTTCAAGGGAGTGCCTTTTTAAGAAAAGCATTTTACATTGTACTGAAGAGATTACGTTCTTTTGGCTTTGGGAAAATATTTCCTGTCAGTGGAAGCCATTAAAACTTGTGAGCGTTTCACATCTGGAAGCCAGTGCAGAGCCTGCCTTCGTCACACTGGGCCTCGGCTGCCTGCAGAAAACACCCTGGACTTGTTTACTTAGGGAGGCCAGGCGGCCTGGAGGTTTGGGGGGGTGACCGTGTGGCTCCCTGTGGGGTAGAGAGGGGCTTCCTGCCTCCCTCCCTCCTGAGCATGCCTCTGTGTGTGTGTGTTTCTGAGATGGGGACAGAGTTGCCCTGTCTTCCTCCTGGGTTGGGCAGGAGGCTTTTCCTTCCCAAAGGACCTCAGATGCCCCCTCCCCTCTTCTGCCTTAAGCAGCTTCTGTTGTCTCTCCCACCCAGTTTTCCAGAAAGCTAACTAAGCCCAGCATTTGCTGCATGGGAGGGAAGGGAGCGAGGTTCCCACTGGGGAAGTTTTCCTCAGAGAGAACAAATCCAATAAAAAATAGCTGGAGGGCCCCAGGCCCCAGGTTGAGGGGCTCCTTTAGGTTCTGCTCAGTTCTGCGGGCCACTTGGCTTCCTCAGGGTGGCTGGTGGCTTCCTCAGGCCCCACACCCTGTTCTGAGTGCCTTGTGCAATAAGGTCCTGTCCCTCTTGCCATGGTCTGGGAGAGTTTCATTTGTCACCAGAAGGCCCCTCCCTTGAAGCAGGCAGGATGAAGCCCCCCTTAAGTACCCCACGGCTGGAACATGTCTGCTCATTCCAGTGGCTTTAACTCTGAGAGGATACCTGGTCACCTGCTTCTGGGGACAGCTGCTGTCTTGAGGACGTTGTTCAGAGAGTTGTTTGAGGGGCCTGGTGGCCCTGGCAGCATAACTTGCAGGGGAAATGTTTTTGTGGTGTGGATGGAATGAAACACATCCATTGCATTTCTCCTGGCCACACACAGCTTGAGAGGTGCCAGGCGACTCTTGGCAGCCTGGGGAAATCGGGGGGAGCAGGCCCTGGCCTAGTGGCCTTAGCAGGAGAGAGTCCCTTCTCGATGACCCCTGTGTCTTCCCACGGCTGCTGAAAGGAGGGACGTTCACCGGGGGCCGAGGTTGGTTTCTCTGCAAGGCTGGTGACATTGCTCTTTGGTCAGTCCTGCAGCCTCAGCGGCCTGGACAGAGGGTCCAGATCTGATCAAGACCTCCCTCAAGGCACAGGACCAGCAGCAGGGTCGGAGCTCTACTTCCTGCTGGAGCTGGTGATGCTGGCAGGGTTTGGAGAGCAGTAGCTATAGCAACCGGCTCAGGCAGCCTGGGGGGCCAAGGGTGGGATCGGTCCTCTCTCCCGCTTCCCGATCTATCGGGGGCTTGGCCTAGTCTTCCTGTCTGCCCTTGAGAAGCCACATGAACAACCTGATGTAGTGAGCAGGAGTTCCCTGGGAAGGCGTGGGTGCACGTCGGATAGGATAGGCAAGAGAGGAGACAGGGCCGCATGAGACCAGAAGCTGTGTCAGCACAGGAAGACCCAGAAGCTCTGCTTGGATCTGGCCAGGGTGATGATGATGGAAAATCAAGTGGAGCGTGAGCTGGGGCGCCGAGGAAAGAGGAGCTGACCAATAGCATCCACCTCCAGCGAGGCCGAGCTGTGCCCCTGGAGTCCGAGGCTTTTCCTTGTGGGGCTCAGGAAGGGCTCCCCAGAATGCTGGCTGCATCTGGAGAAGCAGGAGGCGGCTGGCAGGATCACTCAACACCTGCTGGGTGCTAGAGATGAGCACCCACAACAAGTCGGAGGAGCACGTGGTCGCAGTTAGGTGTCCGAGGGGATCTGAAGGCTTGGCTGAAATCGGATCTGGGTTCATGCCTGGTGCTGTCACCTGCTTGTGAGGTCTCAGTTTCCTCCTCGTAAGCTGAAGGGGAGCAGGGGCATGGGGTGCTCAGCAGCTGGGTGGCATCTGGACCTCAGAGAATGTTCGTGGCTTCTGTTCTTCTGTTTGGAGTGGGGAGACTGAGGCCACAAACAAGCTGTGGGTAGATGTCAGGACGGGGGTGATGTGGCGTGGGTCTACTCTCTGAAAGTTTGGAACCCATCCCTGAGTAAGAAGCAGAACTGTTGCCCTGGATTCACCTGGCTCTTGAGCTGCACAGTGAGAGACCCAGGAGGAAGGAGAGAAGGGCCACAGGGCCAACCCGCGGTCAGACCTGATTGTTGCTGGCGTTTCCTGGCTCAGCAGGGTGCGGAGGAGACGGGGCTACCCTCACTGTGTTCCTGCATGGAGAGAATGCGGACACACATGTGCACGTACACACACGCACATGCACAGATGTGTGCCTCCTGCAGGCTAGCTTGGCCTCACGAAGGCTCTGTCCCCTTTTTAGGCTGAGGCCCTGCAGCTCGACACTGAAGCACTGATCACTGCTAAACCAACTGTTGCTTCTCTGTCTTTACTGAAACATTTGTAACGTGTGTGTGTGTGTGTGTGTGTGTGTGTGTGTGTGAATTTCACACTCAAATTCTTTATAAAATAGAATGGAGGGACAGTGTACAGTTGTCCTTCATTATCCACAAGGAGCTAGGTTGATGGCTCGGGCTCCCCAAGCCAAAATCTGTGGGTGCTCCCGTCCCTTCAATCAACGGAGCACCTGCTCCTGAGTGAGGCACAGCCTAGTGCCTTCAGTCTCCAGGTGCTCTGCAACACCCCATCTGAGGTGCATACTACACAAGTACTGTTGCGTGGTGTCCATTAGGGACAAATAAGGGGAGATGTCTGCTTTTGTTCAGTGCGGAGCTGATTTTTCTCCCAGTACTGTCCGCCTGTGGCTGGCTGAATCCGTGGACACAGCACACTCAGATGCGAAGGCCAACTGTTTCAGTGTGTGATCTACTTTCTTATGTGTCCTCGGCATCTTAACTGTGGAAGGTGAGGGTGAGGGCGAGGGCGAGGGCTTGGACTCGCCCAGGATGTGTCCAGGTCACCGTGGCTCTTGCTGCCCCCTGTTCTCCATGAGCTTTCCACTCACCAGCTGCAGTGTAATTCATTCTGACACTTCTGCTGCTGACAGCCATCTCTCTTCCCCGAAAAGTGGCTGCGAGATGAAGGGACATTGAGAGAAGGGGGTAGGAGCGGGGGGTCACGTCCAGGTTGATCTTTTGTGGGGAACATGAGGAGGAAGTGAAGGAGGAGGGGAAGTTGGAGATAAGAGACAGGAAGCATAAAGGGAGGATGGGGAGAAGAGGTATTGGACAAGAAGAAATGGGCAAGCAGCTGATACGGTAGCTTTTTTTTAAATGTACATATTTAGTACAGGATCTCACTATACAGCTTGGACTCATAGTAATCCTCCTGTTTTCAGCCTCCCCAGCGCTAGGATTATAGGCATGACCGGCTTGGTGCGGGGTTGGCATGACATGCGGTATGGGAGATGAACCCCTGTCCTTGTGCTTGCCAGGCAGGTGCTTAGACTGCTGAGCTATCTACCAGCCTGAAGCTTTCTTGCTTTATAGGATGCCCAGCAACAAATCAAAGGCAGAGGCAAGGTCCACATGCAGCCGGAGCCAGGGAATATCGCTGGGTGTGGCACAGGGGCTGCCTGTTTGGTGCTGCCAAGCTGAATTGGATGTTATCGGTCTCTATAGTTATTCTAGGATAACATTTTCCCCTAAGAGCACCGCCATTGGAAAGAGACAATGAGTCCCAGCCTGAGAATCTCTTGCATTTAATTTCTTTCCAAATGAATACGCTCAGTAGTTTATCTGTGCTTAGATGTGTGGTCTCCTCATTCATTCAAACTGCTGCCCACCTGCGACAAGAGGTGCCCGGCAAGGGCAGCATTGGCAAAGTCTTAGGAACGAGCCCCAGGACATAAGCCAGCCAGATAAGAAGCCCGACTGGACATGGCTGGTTTCTGCAATTCTGACCACTGTTCTCAGCTTCCGAGATACCAGCCCACTTGCTGGCTGCTGAAAGCTCGTGGGAAGTCACTCGGTAGTTTGGGTGTGTGAGAAGAAGTTTCCCAAACAATCTACGATGGAAGAGAGAAACTCCATTTGATTGTTTTACATTTCCATTTTTTATTATCAACATTATCAAGCTTGGAGAAAGGCTGATGGTACACCACAACAAGCGTTGAAAACGTACTTCCCAAATTCAATTGTCACTACCTCTATTATGTTTTTACGCAGCACCTTAGCACTGTTGTTTCGGGTCATTTTCTTTCCTAGCCTGAGTCTGCAGTGCATAATGCCCACAGGCCCTCCCTGCGTGGAGTCTGCACAGGGCATGACATCCGGGTCCTCTTTCTCCCCTCTTCCCCCTCTCTTGGCCCCCCCCCCCATTAGAGAAGGACCTGCCTCCTTCCTTCCGGTTACCTCTGTTATTCGGCTCTTTAGTTACTGTTTGGCTTTCTCGCACATGAGAAACCATGTTAAAAGCAAATATTCTCTTTCGGTTTCTTTCTTTCTTTCTTTTTTTTTTAATCTTAAAAAAAGTGATTTTCCCTTTAGCTAAAGAGTAAACTGGTGCTATTCTGTGCCCTGTCTTTGGAGCAGGCATTTACCCGGTGGATGCTCTGCAGGATGACCTGGAGGGCCAGCAGGAGGCAGCTCTGGCTCTGGCTTACTACACTTCCCTTGGAGACGGGACTCGGCCCTCACCAGAAGCCTTTTATCTTCCGACTGGGGAACAGGTAGGTAGACAGGTACAGAGTAGAATTCTCTAGATCTAGAACACAGCAGGACACAACAGAGCACAATCCTTCTGGAGTGAATAAATAATTCTGCCTTTGGAGCAGGAGGAATCCCGGTTTGGGACTCTGGAATCCTGAATCTGAGTCTGGCTGTGCCAAGCGAGGAGCCCAGGGGAACCCTTCATCTACTCCTTGCTTGCTGTGTGACCCGTGTATCTTGCCCCCTCTGGTCCTGGTATTTTCATCTCTACAACTGGGAAAATAACAGCGCTTACTTTATGGTGGTTTTAGGAGGATCTGGTGAGAGGTGGTGGGTGAGACCTGCCTGGGGCTCAGTTTCTCTTTGGTCTCGAAGACTTGATTGAGCATGAACGTGTTGTGATTCGGAATCAGGCTCTGTGGATTCTGATTTCTGGCCCTGAAGCAAGGCGTTGTGGGCAGGGACTAGACAGAAATGCAAAATGTTCTACCTGGTGGGCTGGTGGCACTGTGGACAAAACTTTAAGGTTGTGTCATTTCCAGAAGCCCCCCACACCCAAGTAACAAAAGGATGTCACTCTTGGGTAGTCCCTACACGGGTCACCTTTCTTGCAGATTTGAGGCCAATCTGCTGAAAAACATGGATTTCTTCCGTAAGTCCTATCAGCGTTCCCTCTGGCCAGAAATCCTTGCTCTCTGGCAGGCAGAATTGGTCGAGGAGGGCAGGGACGCTGCTCCAGAGGTGACAGCAGCAGCAGCAGAGTGTGCAGTGTAACCTGCGGCTTCCCTGGACTCGCAGGCGGAAGTTCTCAGGAGCCAGGAGTGCGACTCCCCTGCGGGACTCAGGCTGGTGGCTGCAGAGGGAGGGTGCTGGCCTCGCACGCTCTCGGCGCCCCCTAGTGGCGATGCTCCAGAATTGTGCAACCGCTGCGGCAAGACCCGGAGCATCTTAGGGAGCCAAGGGATTGCAGGCTGCCGCTCCGGGTGCGTGGGGGAGAGAAGGCAGCTCAGTGAGACGCACGGTGCAGTGCGAGAGTTTGCCCAGATGTTCTTTAAGACGCAATTTCAATTGCCTGCACTTATTGAACGCATTTCTATGGCTCCTGTTTTTGTTTGTTTTTTGAGTGAGTAACCCTTTGTCATGATAGGCAAGTGCTCTTTCTGTAGGCTACATTCCCAGCCTGCGTGTGTATTTGTGGAGTACTTAAAAAAACAAAAACAAAACACCAGAAGTATGTTCAGTGAGTGAATAAAATTAACGTTAACAGTTAAAACAGAAAAAAGACAGTTACTAAAGTTAAGTTGTTTTGGTTCGATAGAAATGCTGAAATGTCTGGCTTCTCCTTCGAAAGAAAATAATTTCACAAAAATGATCATTTTGGTTTCCTACCATTTTGTGGATTCCCTGAGACAGGAGGGATTTCCTGCCTTTAACGACCTGCCTTTGCCTGCGCCTCCTTTTTACTTTCAGCAGGTTTCACTTTTCTTTTCGTATGCAGAGCTTTTTTTCTTCAAAATGGAAAGATGAAGAAGGTCCGAGGCTGTGTCAAGCTGCGCGGCTCTCCTGCGCTGTCTTTTCTTAATGAACTCTTCCTCGGTCCCGTGGCTGGGCAGTCGCGTTCCATATGCAGGAGCTCTTCCTGGTATTTCTGGCCGTAAAATAGCACAAATGCGTTGTAGATCTCTGGGGAGCGAGGGCTAAGGTTGGGGGAAACACCACCATCCTTGGCTGACCACTCTAAGCATTTCAATGTGTGTCCTTTTGGTTTTTATTTTATGCTTTTTAAAGGGAAGCTCCCTGTCCGGATGCAGGGCCGTCTCAGTAAGTGTCTTCCCAGATGGGTTGGATGCTTTGTGAACCTTGTGTCCGGTGTGCGGCGTGGCCATCCTGTGGGTGACCTCGGCTTCAGGTGACCTCTGTAGGACTCTTCATGAAAGTGACCTGGGCGGGGGGGCGGGAGGCGCCGAGACAGTTATGGTTGCCTGGATTTGTTAGGAAATAGTTCTCTGAAACTGTAGAGGCTGCTATAAACTTTTACAAGCAACCTGCCTGCCTGGCTCAGCGGACACATTCTTTTCTAATTTCCTATCCTCTCCTCGGTTTTCAAAACAGGCTTGGTAACGGAATGTGTGGACCTTTCCCTTTAGAGGGTGGGGCCACAAAGAAGGCTTTGGATGAAGGCTCCTGAGAGGTGGGACAGGCCCAGTGTTAGAGACCCCTGCTCCTAGCTAGTCTAAGTAAACAGGTGGCCTGAGTTGACCTTTTCACTATGAGGCCACAAGGCACAGGGCAGAACCTGGAGAACTCAGCTGCTGCGCATTTCTTAAGACTGCTTGCAGGCACCAGAGCTAGGGCAGCAGGCTGCCTGGCGTGTCCCGGGTGGCCACCAGGGCTTGGGAAGCACCATGAAGATCGACTGGACAGGTGTGCACGCCAGAGGCCCGCGTGCAGCCTGTGCCTAGCTCGGAGTGGGCAGGGTCTCTGATGGCATTGCCTACGTCTTGCTAAACGAACTTTGGTGAGGCAGTGTTCTTTCAGTGATCCCTGTCCTACTTAACTGCTCAGTGGCTTCCTGTGCACGGGTGTGATGGAAGATCGCAACCGCTGTTTCATTATTTCTTTCAGGTGAAACTTGGAGCTGCATCTGTTTGCCTTTGCACTGTTTACCGAGATGAACCTCAACATAAAATACTGGTTTTGGTTAATCCTCAGGACACAAAGACAGGTTGGTGGTTGTTCATGGATGATGTGTGTGTCCGTGTCCACGTCTGTGTCTCTCTGGGTGTGTGTGTGTGTGTGTGTGTGTGTGTATCTGTGTGTTACTGGAGATTGAATCTCACACATTCCAGGCAAGCACACTACCACTGAGTGTCACCCCAACCCTTTATTTTTCTCTTACTTTGAGATGTGGTTGGCCACATGGTCCAGGTTGGTCTTGAACTAGCCATTCTTCTGCCTCACCCTCCTGGGTAGTGGGGATTACAGCCCTGAGCCACAGTGCCTGACAACTTACACTTGCTGCTTTTAGGAAGAGAAACCTGGGGAAGGGTGTGCCAGGGGGAGGGCGGGCACTGGTTGCAGTGTCACACAGGTCTGGGAGTGGAGAGACTGTTCTCGTCCTGCAGGTGCAGAGGGGAACAGAAGGCTGTGGAGTGGTCCAACAGCTCACCTCAGCTGCACAGCTCGTGCCTGGAGGGGAGGGGAGGTTCAGAAGGGATGCCAGAGTGGGGGTTTTGCTTTTGGCAGTGACTTATGCAATCTGTAGCTCATTTATTCTCCCTGTGCTTTATGAAGAGACTGCTGTGGTGGGCTCCGGCTCCCCGGCTTGCAGAAGAGATTCTGTCCTTTGCTTCTGGGGCTGTGACCCAGGGCTGTGGAAGGGGGCAGGGTCTGGCGTAAGGAGCCAGAGTGTGGGGTCTGCCCAGAACCCATGGCACCCGGGAGACTTAGGGAAGCACCTTTTTGCTGACTGCTTTGGTTCACAATTTAAATTTAATCCCACTTAGTCATTTTCATTTTTATTTTACTGTGCTGGGATTTACAGCTTTCTCACAAGAGTATGAACTGGCCTTAGGCAAGGCCCTGCAACCCTCTAACTTGTTAGGTCCTTTAATCATGTGGTTCCTGGAGGATATGGGGCTGTGGGTCTTTGCTTTTGAGGTGCTGGGACTGGGACCCAGAAAGCCTCATGCATGCCAGGCCATGGCTCTGCCACTGAGCTGCACCCCACGATGGGCTTGTAAGGCTGTGGCCTCAGGGTGTACAGGGAGGCTCCTCCTGCTCCCCACCTCCCGAGCACCCAGGCTTTTGCCCATCGGCTGTGTGTCCTTCTGGGTTTCTGCCCAGAGGATTTTCTGCTGTACTTGCATTGCAAAACTTGAAGTGATATCTTTTGGGGCAAGCTATTCAGCACGTGAGACTGTCCCTCATGCCTCTGTGATTAGTGGTCACTGTGATGTGCACATGCATGCGTTTAGCTAGCTGTCAATGGGAGTCTTTGGCTGAGGGAGGGTGAGATTCGGTCACAGCCCTCCTATCTCAGTGTGACAGAGCCATGAGTGCTGTGAACAAATAGGTTTCTTGGTACTGGGGCTCGAACTCAGAACCTTGCACTTGCCAGGCAGGTGTTTATGTCGCTGAGCTATCTCCCAGGCCCAGAAACACGAGCTTTTGATGCTGCTTTGAGAGTGTGACTCCATTTCCAGGTTAGAATAAGTGAAAGATGTGCCTACAGGAGCCCCTCAGTGCACAGATTGTCAGAAACTCTGAAAATATTTTTGCCCATTTTAGGAAAATATCCGAGGATCAGCAGCTCTCCTCCCACTCCCCCTTTCTGGCATTTAGTAATATTCTGGTTATAGGCCTTTAACTATAATTTGCATAATGTAAACATATGACTGACTCTTAGAAATCTGTTTCTTATTTGTACTGGACCTAATTTTTTGGGTTAATTTTAAGAATGTACTGTAATAAATATTCATAAGCATTAGGAAATCTCGCTGCTGACCCTTCCTCATTAATAGTGCTTTAAATAAAATTCTCCACTGTTTCCTGCTGCTGTGGGTGCCATTCTGTTGTTGGCTGTGATTTTGCAGGACTTCAGAAGAGCTCTCAGGTGTCCTTGGAACCTGCTGCCCAATCGTGCATTGAGGAGCAGTGCAAGTTCTCTGCCCAGCGCACTGCACACGTGGCGTGGCTGGCAGTGTGTGGCCTGTTCAGCCTCCAGTGGCCTCCAGGACTCCTTTGCCCACTTGCGTGAGCCTAGCTGCGACTGGACTGTGGAGAAAGCTGTTGTAGCTTCCTTTGTCGGTCTGAGTTCCATGTGTGAAGACCACACACGTTTGGGTGACTGTGTTGAAGGGAGAGCTAAGGGACCCAGAAGCGTTTTGGTGAGCTCTGTGGTGGACCTCAGCGTTGGTGAGCAGTTGAGACCCTCAGCGTAGCCTCCTGTAACCCTGAGAGCAAGCAGGAAATGTCCCGGCTGCACAGGCAGTCGGTGCTGGCTGCAGGCAACTGTGCAGCCTTCCTTCCAAGCTTTCCCCTTCAGAAGGTGGCTTCCGTAAGGTGGCTGGAGAAGTGGGTGCCCTGGTCCCACGGCCCTTGCAGGAGCAGTCTCGACTGCCTTTCTGCCTCGAGGCTGGCATCTGTTCCCTGAGGGTACCTAGCTGGAGGCCACCAGGAACCGCCCTTCCCTTGTACCCTTCACTTATTAATTTATCTCAAGGGTTTTCAAAAATTAAAAAATAACCCCTCTTATCAAAAAGAGATGCAGTCTTTATATGAGCTTGTATATGAAATCAAGGCCACTTGTCCTGGCCCCAAGGTTACCAGCTGCCGGTGGCCTTTGCTCTCCCCATCTCTTCCCGTGCCTGGCACATGTAACCGGGCAGGCCTGGACTTGGGTATCTGATAAAGCAGACGTCGTGTCTCGATTCTGCCAGCTGCCTGCGTGTCCTGCATGGGTTACCTGGGCACGTAAGGTAAACACATGACTGGATATTTTGTCATTTGCCACACGAGGACATACTAATGACTTCCCAGAGCGGATGTGATGGCGAAATGACATAGGGCAAAAATCTGAGGGCTTAGGATCATCCTGCCGAGTTACTTTCTCACAATCTGAGCCTAACTTCATGACCCAACATGCAAACTACCCAAAAGTCTAAAACTCTCTGAGTACCAACAAAACACCATAAAGTAGAAAACTCCACACTGTGCAACTCTGTTTCAGGCACAGATTTCTTAAACATATAAATTTATTCAGTACTTTATGAAATATATTAAATAATACTGCTTTTTAAGCATAAAATTAACTGGGCTCTATTCATAAGTGCATTTGAAATATAAATGAATTTTATGCTTCGACTTCGACCCCATCTCCGAGATAGCTCATTGTGAATACCACAAATGTTTCCAATCTGAAAAAAATCCCAAATCCAAAACACTTTTGGTCTCAAGCACTTTGGATAAGGGTTCCTTAACTTCTCTATATAAATTAGCAGCTTTGTTGCAATGCAGGTCATAGACCACATAAATCGTCCACCTAAAGTGTAACTCAGTGCTTTTTAAAATTTTATTCTCAGAAGTGTACATCCATCATTGCAGTTAATTTCAGAATATTTTAATTATACCCGACAGTGGCCTTTCTTCCCTTACCTGTCACTTATTTCTCCCCTCTACCCTCCCTCACCTTAGGCAGCTGCTACTTTCCTTCTTTCAATCTATGGATTTGCTTATTCTGGATATTTTGTAGAAACAGACTGACACAGTATATGCCCACTTGAAGCTTCTTTCTCAGAGGATGGCTTTTCAAGGGTCACCCAGGTCGCAGCATGTGTCACTACTTCACTCATGTTTGTGGCCGAATAGTATTCCATTGTGCAGCTAGTTTGTATGGCCTGCCTCCTTTTTTGTCTGTTCATCAATCAACACATATTTGAGTGGTTTCCATCTTTTGATTATTGTGAAGAAAGCTGTTAGGAACATGTATGTATTCATTTTTAGAGGCAGCTGCCCTCACTTCTTTTGGGAATCAAGAAAAAAATATTTCATCAAGACGGTAACTATATTTAATCTTTCTTAGGCGCTGCCAGGTTGTTGTACTCCAGCAATGTAAAAATCTCCCGATTTTCCACACTTGGGCCAACACCTACTTTTACCTGTCTTTTCTGACTGTGGCTGTTCTGGTGGGTTGAAGCAGTGCCTTGGGTGTGTCTGATTTGCAGTTCCTGATGACTAAGGGAACCCTTGTCTAACAAAAGCTTGACTAACCCTTGCACGTGTTTGTTGGCCTTTGTATAGTTTCATTGGAGAAGTGTCTATGTAGCCTTTTACCCATTCTTTGGTTGGTTTATTTGTGTTTTTATTACTAAGTTGTAAAAGTTCTCTCCATATTCTAGAGAAGAGTCTCTTATTTTCCAGTGCAGAGCCCTTATGTGCTTTGCTGTTCTCCTCTCCTGGTTTATGGGCTCTCTTTTCATTTTCTTGATGTCTTTTGAAGCACCAAAGTTTTTAATTCTTTTGATGTTGACCCTGCTTTTCTATTTTTCTCTTTTGTGAATTGTACTCTCGGTGTTGCATATGAGAAAACACCACTTAATTAAAGGTTAGGAAAATCGAGGTCTGTGTTTCTGCATTATATTTTAATTAGAACAGTGGTTTCATCTTGTCTGATGAACAACTCCAGCCATCCAGCTGTATTAGCTTCTCATTTAGTGTGTGGCATTTGAAGCCTTAAAAGTGTCCTTTCTTTGCGTGTGACCCAAGTAATTAAAGTAATTATTTTTATTCATGTGTTATACCACTACAAACACACTCAACTCATTGGCACAAATTTCTGGTTATCCCAGAAGGAGATTCCATGAGACTTCTGAAATACATGCAGGATCACGAGGGTGGAGGGAAATCTGTGTGATGAAATAAAATTAATTGATGTTTGCTTGTTTTCCTAGCACTGGTCTAGGAATGTCATTAAGAAAGGAAGAGAAGCCACTTTGCTTTGTCTGATCTTGGTGAATTTGGGACAACTTTAAACCCAATCTTTGTCCTCTAGGTCCTCATAGACTTCCTTTCTTAGTTTACTTGAGACCTTTACTGGGTAGAAGGGGATGTCCAGTGAGTTAGGCATTAGTCGGAAGACACATTGATTCACACATGATGGTGAGATAGCTCAGAGGCCTAAGAGCCTGCTTTGGCAAATGCAGGGACCAGAGTTCAATCCCTAGT